TTCTTCTTCTTCTTCTTCTTCTTCTTCTTCTTCTTCTTCTTCTATCGCGTGATTTGGGCAGCCGTGGGGGCCACTGCATCTGAAAATCAAGCTCTCACCATCTATTTTAGTCCTCTGCTTTCCTACTTTCCTCAGATTGTCACCCATCGTCTTCCCTGTCCACTCCCATGTCCTTCTCTGCCTTCCTCTCTTTCTCTTTCCTTGTACGGTTCCTTGTAGGATTGTTTTGGCAAGTTCTGTGGATCTTGTGACATGCCCATACCATTTTAATTTCTTTCAATGTATTTGGGGTCGCAAAATAATTTTTTTAAAGGGTTTTGTGAGTGCAAAGGGGGGAGGGGGGTCGCTAGGATAATAACAAGGAGGGGGGGGGGTATTCGTTTTCTCTCTCTCTCTCTCTCTCTCTCTCTCTCTCTCTCTCTCTCTCACACACACACACACACACACACACACACACACACAAACACACACAAACACACACACACACACACACATAGCTACACGTTATATGATAGTATATTATGTATACTATCATAGTGGTTTTTGCGTGCTTTCCAACAAAGAATAGTTCGAAGATTTTATTCCGAAAAGCAATCTGCCTAGTTACTTAGCTATGTAGGAAAACAGAACACAATGCCTCATCTAAGACTCTTGTTTTAGAAGAATGACCCCGTAGCTGTAACAAAGAAAGACAATTGGATGGCGTCCTTACTTTATCAAGTACAAGTATTGTATGGACAGACCAAATCTTGACGTACTCAGGCATTTGAACGCACTCTTCGGTTGCGCGTGAGCGCGCGCACACACTCACACACACACACACACACACACACACACACACACACACACACACACACACACACACACACACACACACACACAAACACTTTCTCTCGCCTCCTCCCACCCCTGCTCTCTCTCTCTCTCTTTTTCAAACGAATAGACACACACTCATACACATACATAACCTGTAGCAGTTGTGCCTTGGGCAGGGCTTTGCGTCAAACACTCAAAACAACAAAACAAATCACATTCAGCACACACACAAACACACACACACACATACACAACACATACACACACACATACACACACACACATACACACACACACACACACACACACACATACACACACACACACACAAGTAGTGCCCTGGGCAGGGCTTTGCGTCTCTCTCCCCTCCACATTATCGATGTCCGGGCGCGCGAAGATACGATCTACTGTGTCTCCCATGGCAGAAGCTAACTGCCCGTAAAATCGAACATGGAATGTTCACCTTTTGCCCGGGTCAGGGACAGATTCATTCAGTAATTCATTCGGAAAACAAAGTAAACGACAAGCCATCCATTAGTTCATTCGGAAAACAAAGTAAACGAAATGGTGCAAGATTTGGCTGGAAGAGTTATCACTCTTAAAAATAAAGTAAACGAAAAATTTGACAAATCTTCGTTTTGAAAACAAAACATTATGACTGAGAAGTCGTTCAATAGTTCATTCTGAAGACATATTAAACGACAAGTCAAATATTGGTTCTGTAATTGTTGTTTTTTCTGGACTCAAAGTAAACGAAAAGTCTTTCTGTAGTTTTTTTTTCTGAATTCAAAGTAAACGAAAAGTCTTTCTGTAGTTTTTTTCTGAATTCAAAGTAAACGAAAAGTCTCACGAGTTTACTGGAGTCATCATTCTTCGTCGTTCTGAAAACATAGCTACGTTCGTCAGTTGTTCATTCTTGGTACAAAGTAAATGGAAGGCCATTCCATAGTCCCTTCTGAAACTATATGAAACGACAAGTCAAACATATGTTCATTTTGAAAATAAAACACGGAAAGTCTCACGCGTTGACTGGAGTCATGATTCTATGTCGTTCTCAGAACAAAGTCATCGAAACGTGATTAGATCTACATAGTTCATTCTGAAAACAAAGTAAACAAAAAGGCCCACGAATTGACTGCAGTCATCACTCCTTGTTATTCTGAAAACGAATTAAATCCAAAAGTTGCAAGGTGGATTAGAGCAATCATTCCACCTAGGCGTTTTCACAAATGCCCTATGCCATTAAGCAGAATCCTGGTTGTCCTTTGTTTTAAATTCAAGACAGGGAGTATCGAATCGGAGACTACGTATTTTGTGGAACTATTTACATTAGTAGTTAACTATGAGTTATCGTTGTAGAGTGTCCACTGATTTGTTAAACGCTACGTCAAAGGGCAATATTTAGGACTAGCGATGAAGTTAACAAATTTAGTTTTAGAAGATGTTTTACAGCGCTCGCAATTGTATAAGGTCATATTATGAGCGCCAGACGAGTAGATGTGTTACAAGAGAGTGACAAACTTTGAAAAAGAAGAAGGGGAGATAAGGACGATAGATGTTTCATAGGAAAGAAGAAGCAAACCACACAAGAGCACCCGCCAACCACCCACACAAATTGTCTGTGTTAAGACTGATATGATACACTGTGAATCAAGCTTGATGTAGAGATCGAATAGTTTGAAAAGAGTACGTCATATAAACTGTCAAACGATCTACCCTACCCTTTATTAATTACTCTTACTATGCCTTGTTCTCAATACGTCGCAAGCTTGGTGCTATTTTGTACTAACCCCCCCCCCCCTCCCCTCCCCTCCCCTCTTGTTTTGACGCAAATCACTTTGAAAGCAGAGAATTCCAGTTGCAAAAACGGCAGTTAACATAAAAAAACGAATGGGAAATCTTTGGAATACGGGTATTCTCTGTAATTTCGTTTGACTCAAAGGAAATATTTTTTAAATAGCATTGATAACTGTGATAAGAATTCCCATCGGAAACTGGAATTGATACAAGATAATACTCATCTCGTGGCATCTCAAAATTGACAGATATATGAACAACTTTTGTTTTGGGCTTCAGTGCCTGTCTTCTTTACTCTAATCTCCTGGTCAAGCGCTGTGCCCTTAAAAAGTACACATTCTTTCTTCTAAATGATCTAAAGAGTTTCTATGGTGGCGTTAAATGATTATGTTTATGTATAAAATGAAAACGAAGTCAGGGCTTTTAACCCCCCCCCCTTCCCCTCCCCTTCCTAACCCCCTCGCGTATTTCGTCCTGCCTCTCATAAAGAGAGAGAATGTTTTACGGAGCGGGATTTTACATCCCAGCACGTGAGACATGTATTTACTAATATCCTGTCTTGTTGTGCGTATGCGTGAGTGCACCTAACCTTTGTAACGTCTACTGCTATTGTTACTATTGTTAACGACCAAGGCAAATTTCTCCCTGCGAGATGAATAAAGATTGTCATTGTCATTGTCACTGTCATTGTCATAGTCATTGTCATTGTCATTGTCATTGTCATAGTCATTGTCATTGTCGCATTGTCACTGTCATTGTCATTGTCATTGTCACATTGTCATTGTCACATTGTCATTGTTATTGTTATTGTCATTGTCGTTGTCATTGTCGTTGTCATTGTTAGTGTCATTGTCATTGTCTTAGTCATTGTTATTTATTGTCATTGTCATTGTCGTTATCATTGTTTTAACAGCAAACTTCTCTCCATGGCTGTCCCCAGGGTGTGAAAAACTTCATGAGACGAGAGTGTAAATGTCACGGCCTGTCAGGATCGTGCACACTGAAGACCTGCTGGAAGAAAATGCCTCCGTTTCGAGAGGTCGGGAACCGGCTCAAGGAACGCTTCGACGGCGCCATCAGGGTCATCATCTCTAACGACGGGAAAAACATCATCCCGGAGGGGCTGACCATCAAACCGCCTTCCCGCCACGACCTGGTGTACTCAGATCCGTCGCCAGACTTCTGCAAGAAGAACAAGAAGGTGGGCTCTCTGGGCACCAGGGGCCGGGAGTGTGAGCCGGACTCCATGGGGGTGGGAGGCTGTGACTTGCTCTGTTGTAACCGCGGCTACTCGCGGACTTCGGTGACGATGAAGGAGAATTGCAAGTGTCGGTTTCTGTGGTGCTGCGAGGTGATCTGTGAGACGTGCGTGAGCACCAAGATTCTCAACAAGTGTTTGTAACCGGAGGACACAACGAGAGGGGGGAGGGTGGGTGTGAGTGAGGTGCTGGCGTAGCTGTAGACACACACGCACACGCACACACACACGCATGCTGTTCCTTGACAAAGTGAATTGTCTTCAAGGCTGTGAGATTGAGAGTTCGTCTTTCTCTGACAGCCGACCTCGAAAAATGAACTGTTTGGCTTGAGAATGGTGTGCTGAATATTGACTTAATTGTGACATAAGTTCGTGTTTTCGACAGGCTGAGTGCTGCTTGAAATAAGCGACAACAAAATAGGCTTCCACCTTGAGGCCAATGATGATTACACCGTTATCGGGAGCCACAAGGAGGACACGTGATACTTCTGAAAGTCTAATTGTCCAAGTGCTGATGAGATGACAACCGCTTACAGTGGGAATACTTCTGAGCGTCCCCGGAACAATGTAACACTTCTGGAGTGTATGTTTGAGGAGCCCTGTACCTCTGTGAATCATGACATGAAGTCTTTGGTCCCAATGTAAAACGATGCAAGTTTCCTACAATTCTGCCTCCTCAGCAATGATAGCTGTGACCTAGGCATTTTGTTTGGCTTATGTGTTGGCCTTAATACATACTTGCCTTACAAATATACAACCCGAAATAGATCAGACTTACGACATGATAGTGTGTTCACTTGATGTATTCGAAAGAATATGACCATGATGTGTCAGATTATGTTTTCTGCATATCCAAGGTATTAAATCATCCTTTAGGGATATCTTATGGCCAGTAGACCATTCATTGTGTACAGCTGACAAAACGGGGCATGTTCTCCGAGTCGAACTGTCGATATTGTCTAGACAGATGATGTCAGAAAATCAGATGTCCGAAGAGACTCAGCGATCTAATTTTTAGACCGTCTGCCGATGACATGAGAAACCAATACAGACAACTGCATATCTGCCAAGAAGGAGAGCTGAGGGAATATATTTTCTCTCACTCATACAACTGTATTAAACAATTGCAATCTGACTCTTTTCTGGCGCCTCCGTATTCTGAAACAGATGCAGGCCGAACAGAACTGGCATGGGTAAAAAGACGAATATATTGCTTATTTCGGCAGAATTGTTTCAGTACTGACAACAAAAAACCGGTTTGTGTTTTGAAAACTTTCAAAACAGTTATATATACCGAAGTCTGCATGTTCAAGTGAAATCATATTGTAAGATAGTCGAGCCAATATCAAAACAGACGAAATGTAAAACCTATTCAAGCTGAACCGAGGAAAAGCGATTGAATTGAGAGTTAACGTAAACTGGCACGGATCAAAACTTTAGGGTTTGGAATCCCTTTATACTGTCATAATCCTTAACGACCATACACTTATTTCAGCTACAACTATAGTCTGTTGATCCAGTGTCTAACTCACCTACTATAGAAGGGCTTCGTGGAAATGGACATGCGTGATAACGGACATGATACATGTCCATAGCTTTCACCGGGCGGCTGTCGTTAAACAGCTGCAAAAGGCTGGACTGGTACATCGTTGGTAGAGACAAATTATAATAAACGTACTTGCGAGTTACTGTTTAATCGACGGTTGGAGATACAGAGCTGTCTTACCTGCAAGTTACTGTTTCCTTGTGCGCTTTACCACCAGCAATGAAACTTCTTTTTTTATCCCTTGCCCATTTATATGAGATCGACGCCTTCTGATTAGTAGAAAAAAGAGCGTATGATAATGTCCAATAGTGTATTACGTGCAAACTTAGTATGACAAGTAACTGTTACAGAAATAGAGATTCAAGGATTATTGACGTAAGTCGTTGATCTGAGAGCAATGATGATTTTTAAAATGATGGTGGTGATGAGTGATGATGTGGGATTGTGTTTAAGTAATGGTAGCGTCAGTCCTATCTTCCTCTGCTCCAATGAGTCACGAGGGACGTGGGCACCCTCTATCCCGTTCCCTACTGGGATGAAGCAATGAAGCTATGTGTGGCCTGTGGAAATCAGTTATGTGTTGCATGTCGAATGCACACTTTGTTTATGACTAGCGTCTGTGGGGTTAGGGTTAGGCTCTGAGCCAATCCACGCGGAAGATACGAGTTTGATTCGGATGGCAATGTTTGCGGGTTCGGGGGTTCGAGCCACGGGCCCGATGTGTCCTTGGGAAAGGCACTTTACACGAATTTTCCTCACTTCACCCAGGTGGAAAAGGGTACCCGGCCATCGACAGTGAAAGACATTGTCAGTATGGTAGTGTTTTAGCGCCTATAAATGGCCGCTTGCACTGTATGTTTCCCAGAAAGTTGAGTTTGTTTCAGAATGCTCTCAGGTCTGATGGGGTAATAGTATAGATTGTTAAGCGCATAGAGCTTGCTGTTGAGCGGGGATTTGCGCTATACAAATGTTATCTGTTATTATTAAGCTGTATATCGGGGATCTTGATCTGTCAGCTGGGATGTTTGTATCGTACTTATTCCAGACAGGTCCTGACAGTAGACTGAAGCATCCCGTTGTTGTCGACTTGATACAACTTGCGTCGATTGGGGCCTAAACATATGTCAAAACATCGTGTTTCTGACAGACTTATGGTGTTTTCTTCATTATATTGACCCCTGCCCCGCAGAGTGAGGCACAGAACCAGAGCTCCGACAAGACACTGCCCTCACCAGGAGCGGAGAACTACAACAAAGGACTGTGAGAAACGTCCACACCTACAACTCTCTGTCTTATCAAGCCATGTTTACCCCACTGCAATTGTTATATTCTTTTTTGTTGTTTTTGTTGTTTTGTTTTGTTCTGACCTTATGTTATTTATCTTTCGTACATCATTGAATGCTTAAGATGTAAAACTAAAAGACTTATGGCGAACAGAAATCACGCACTGAGTACCGAAACTCTGAAACTCGTTTTTGGGTTGACCAAAACAAAGCAATAAGAGAGAAAAATGCTTTCTCGGAAAGATGGCAAGTGCTGTTCTTTACCTCTCGTTTTTCTCCTCTCAGTGGAACAAGACGTTTCATACCAGTTGAAGGGAGGTAAGTGGGGTGAACATCGCGATAGCTGTCAAGGGACGTAACTGTGTTAATTCTTTCTTTTTCTGCACAAAACGAATGATAATAAATGAAAGAAGAGACCGCTCGAACAACCAGCGGTGGTTGCTGACAAGTTCAGATTTACTGCGTTGCTCGATGATTTTTATCGAGGCAGTCCCCTTGGTGCCATTCTCCAACAAAAGTTTTTTTTCGCAATTGTGCAGTTCGGCATAACGACCATTCCCATTTGTAGATAAACAACGTGTATTCAACATAATGATGTCTTGAGATATTCCCAAGAGAAAAACAACACCTTTTTCCAATGAGGCTGTAAATGTAGGTTCTGAATTGTAAAGAGAAATTTAAATAACAAAAGTTAGGTATGTCCATCTTGAAGTTGCAGAGATTTTGTCGATTTCTTCTTTCCCTTTATTTGATTGTTTTAGAAGAATATATTACTCTTTGCTCCATTGATCAACACGGATGAACTATTCTGGATAGTATAAGCTAAAGCCGATAACTTTTCCTCGAATCAGAACCAGCAATTTGAAAAAAATCTTGTTTGTTTATTATCTTAGCGTTCCATGAAAATTGGAGTAGGAAAGGCTTTCAAACTGAAGTATTAAATATTCAAAGCTGACCATTAACTTATTGATTAAGATCAACTCGACCCTTAAGATAGTTTGTACTTTAATGTACTAAATATATATGTGAGGCAGCGTGGTGGAATCAGGCTTTCGTTAATTTTTGGGCATGTAGAGTTATTGGTATCATCTTAAAGCTTGTTCATGTGTCTTTATTCGGGTGAAAAAAATATCCATTTATCTTGAACACAAGTCGAGATATTTGCGAATGAAGGAGGTGGAAGTCACCTGTTTTCAGAGGTAATATTAATGAGAAAATGGCCGCCAAAGATTAGTTATTTCCTTAGCTTAAGAGTCCGTGGTAACTGAAAATTTACATTTTCTGTGCCTTTAATCTACATTTCTCAGTAAAATCCATACAGAAATGAGTTCTTTAATGGGCATGAAAGGTGTTGAGCCACTTCACTTTGATTATTTTGACCAGAGCCTGATTTCACCACGCTACCTCACATATTATTTTCTTCAGGTATTTGCTTTCTAACTTTAAAAATGTAAGCCACATTCACGGATGTGATCTCCTTTTCTTAAATGACAGTCATAGGTAGCCTCAAATATAAACCACAGGGTCACATTTAATGCCTCTCTTTTCTCTCAGTTGAGTAGATTTGAGAGCCATGTGAATTCTCTACAGAGCAAAGTTTTCCTCGAGACCAGTACGACTATGGTAATTCAACAACTAACTGGACCTGCAAGACAGGATCTCCTGTCCTGAAAGTTTGCCTCTATGGGATGTTTACATGATCTTACTACTTAAAACATGTTTTTACATGTTGTGTACATAATATTTGACATATTAAATAATAAATAGCCGCGCTGTAGTGTTGATATACAATAATAACAAGCGCAGTAGTTGGCGAGAAGCTGTGGAGAAGGTTGTGAATGGGAGAAGTCTGTGTGTCTGCCATATTCTCTTTACTGTTCTGGATTTCTGTGAAAGGTTGGATGCTTTGCTTACTCGTGGACCTACGTGCTGAGCTATGATAGCAATACTATTACGTTGATGATAGCAATACTATTACGTTGATGATAGCAATACTATTACGTTGATGAGGGTAATCTTACTGGTTGTACATTTGCCACGGTACGTCTGGACATGCGTGATAACGATATTTTCCCTTTGTTTAAAGCCACGTACGGATTGTGTGTTGTATTTTGACCGCTTCAGATATGAACAATTATATAATATAATATACATATATATATAAAACGATTTTACTGGTAATAAAATGTTTCGTTATAAAAAAAAATGCCAGACTTGAGTATTTGTCACGGATGTTTGTGTTTCTGTTCGTTCTGTTTTTGTGGTGAGTTTTTTAAAAATATCTTTCAATTACATGGGTTTTTTTATTTCTTCTTTTTCGCTTTTTTCGCTTTTTTTAGGGGGAGCGGGTAAATGTAGGTATTTAATTATTACGTCGTTATTGACCCAATCTAGATCCTCCAGGGGGTGGGCGTCAACTCTCCCCTGTCAGGGCCTACCGGGATTGATAGTTGTACATCCCAGCAGAAACACAGACAAGATAATGTGGGTGGTTGGCGGGTTCTCTGGTGTGGTTTGCTTCTTCTTTCCTATCAAACATCTATCGTCCTTATTTCCCCTTCTTTTTGTTTATGTTTGTTACTCTCTTGTAGCACCTCTAATCTTCTGGCGCTCATAAGACCTTATGTAGTAGCGAGCGCCGTAAAACCTCTACTAAAACTAACTAGACAAGACACTCGAGACAAAATTCTCCAGCACATATGAATCGAACTCAGTTCGCGTCTGTACAACAACGAAGTACCTAACTGCTGCACCACAAGCGCCGATATGTCTCTGGGTATAATTTAGAGTTCCAGACTTCAGGCCGTGTGCAGGGGACTAGCTCCGAGAGGGTATCTCATAGGTATGTAGTATGACCTTACTGTATGACCTCCTTGATGACAGCGAGCTGACGTTGTGACCATGATGTATGAACGTGTCGTTGTTTTTTTGTTTTTTTTAATAACACAATTTAGATCTTTTAGGAGGCTGGTTTCGAGCCCAATAGTCAGGGGCCAAAGCCGGCTGAGAGAGAGAGAGAGAGAGAGAGAGAGAGAGAGAGAGAGAGAGAGAGAGAGAGAGAGAGAGAGAGAGACAACATCCTTAACACGAACCCCTCCCCCCCCCCCCCCCCGAGATACTCGATTAAATTTCTCCACATTTAGGAATGGAGATGGTGTCTCCCGTGTGCCACAGCGAAGTGACTAAATGCTGTGCCACAGACATTGGTCATGATCTATGTCCATGTCGAAAGAACACAACATTTGGTTTTTCAACAAAGTAGTGAATGAAGCTAATGTTCTCATTAAACTGGAAACCTATATTTAAAATGAAGCTCGATAACCTCAACAAACTGTAAGTTGAAACAAGTAAGGTTTTTCCATGAGTGTCTGAATGTTCTTCATTTTTCTCCACGTGTTTCTGTACAGTAAGGTTTAATTCCTGTTTCATCACAGTCCAGTAACTTAAGTGGCATGATGTTTGATTTGACACCCGTCCAAGTCAAAACCTGACAAAGAAGTTGTTTATTGGTTTGAGTGAAGAGGAGAAAATGGACAGAACAACAGTGAAATAGTGCAACTCAGAAGCACAAGTGTTAGTGTCTTTAATTCATGTTTTCTAGTAAAATCCACACAAAAATATGCTTTTTTAAAAAAAAAACCAAAAAGATGTTGAACCATTTTTAAAAATTGAACAAAATTCCCAAACTGGTGGAAAAATACCGGTTTCTTTGATGTCATTATTTTAACAAGCGCCTCATTTCACCACGATGCTTCACAGATATAGATCTAGATACAGTTCCCCCCAACACATGCCAGTAAAGGGAAGTAACCAAGAGTAATAATTTATGTTCAGTATCGACGTTAAATTGTGAGGCAGCGCGGTGGAATCAGGCTCTCGTAAAAAAAAAATCAAAGTGAAGACACTTGCATTTTTCCGCAGATTTGTGAATTTTTATCAATTTTTTGTTTTTGGGCTCAACACCTTTCATGCCCATTAAAGAACTCATTTCGGTGTGGATTTTT